CAAAGAACTGAAAAGGGTACCCTAGTTATTCAGTTATAGGCAACACATTCCCCTAAAGATAAGCAACACAGATGGGGACGTGGCTGAATCCAAAGTGCTTTGGCTTAAACCTTAAAATGGAAGCTACTCATTGTGGCCCTCCAGTATCACTCCCATCCTACCCCTGGATAGCTTCACATTGTATTTCTTCTAAAAATATATCCTTGATAAAGATCATTGTTATATATATAAAAATAACAGTGAAATTGCTACACTTCATTGTTATCCCCACACTTCACAGGGACCCTGGCTGGCATCACTGGTTACATCCCCAAACATTTCTCATTAGAAAAGAGTTCCAAGTTTTAGATCCGAGAGCTAGCGAGCACCTAAGCAAGAACTAGGAACACCACTGCCTGAAAGACTGCAGTGAATAATACAAGCAGCAATCTGATAGCAGGTCTCAAGTCTGAGCTCTTTCAGAGCACCTGCTTCAAGAACAGCTGCTGCTGTTTCATGCAGATACATTACCCCGGCTTGAGTCTCTGGACAACCCCAAGAGTAGCCGTGCCACCAGAGACATGCTGGACAGACCGTGAAGGTTCTTGCACTACCTCACGCACCAGCAACAGCTCTACCTACCCAGCTGCAAAAAACTTCTTCTTCTGCCCCTCTTCCAGCCCAGAAGAGTTCAACAGGCAAGAGGCCATTTCAGGTAACACTGTTGACACTGTATCAAAAGTTTACTCTTAGGATTTTCTGCTTGTTTCCAAATTCCCATCCCTGTATTAGCCAAGGACACAAAAATTTTGGCGAAAACTACAGTCTGCGGTTGAGCATAAAACCCAAACTGCCAAGCACAAAAGCCAGTGGCAAGATTGAGACCTGAGCACTGATATAGAGACTCCTAACACCCTCTAAAAATGTCTAAGCGGCAGCTTTCCTTCCCATTGCTTCTTTGTATTCAAGTCGACTGGGATTATTTCTACTTGATCCACATTCTGCAGGCTTTTGTTTTTGCCACTGTTCCTCTCGTTATCCTGACAGAGATGGTCACTACACAGAAGATACCACTGCTTTTCCCAGAAACCAGAACAAAAACAAGAGGACTATACAAGCACTCTCCATGGGATTTAAAATAGCTGGAGTGCAAACAACGAGTGATTATTAAGCGATCAAAGAGTTGTGGTCAACAGCTCCATGTCCAAGTGGGGAGCAGTGATGAGTGGTGTTCCTCAGGGGTCGATATGGGGACTGACACTGTTTAACATCTTTGTTGGAGCCATGGACAGGGGGAATCGATGCACCCTCAGCAAGTTCCCCGCCAACACCAAGCTGTGTGGTGTGGTGACACGCAGAAGGGGCAGGGATGCTATCCCAAGGGACCTGGACAGGCTGGAGAGGGGGCCCAGACAAACCTCATGGAGTTCAGCAAGGCCGAGTGCAAGGTCCTGCCCATGGGTCCGGGCAATCCCCGGCACAAATTCAAGCTGGGCAAAGAGTGGCTTGAGAACAACCCTGCGGAGGAGGACTTGGGGGTGTTGGTGCTTGGAAAACCAACTGTGCACCAGCCATGTGCACTCGCAGCCCAGAACCCACTCATGCCCTGGGCTGCAGCCAGAGCAGGGGGGGCAGCAGGGCCAGGGAGGGGATTGTCCCCCTCTGCTCCGCTCTGGGGAGACCCCCCTGCAGTGCCGGGGCCAGCTCGGGGGCCCCCAACAGCAGAAGGACACGGAGCTGCTCGAGCGGGGCCAGAGGAGGCCCCGAAGATGCTGGGGGGGCTGGAGCAGCTCCCCTGGGAGGCCGGGCTGAGAGAGTTGGGGGGGTTCAGCCTGGAGAAGAGAAGGGGCCGGGGAGACCTTGGAGCGGCCTCCCAGGGCTTAAACGGGGGGACAGGAAAGGTGGGGAGGGACTCTGGGTCAGGGGGTGTAGGGTTAACACAAGGGGTAATAGTTTTAAACTGAAAGAGGGTAAATTTAGGCTAGATTTAAGGAAGAAATTCTTCCCTGTGCAGGGGGTGAGGCGCTGGCCCAGGGTGCCCAGAGCAGCTGTGGCTGCCCCCTCCCTGGAAGGGTTCAAGGCCAGGTTGGACGGGGCTGGGAGCCCCCTGGGCTGGGGGAAGGGGGCCCTGCCCGGGGCAGGGAGGTTGGAGCTAGATGATCTTTAAGGACCCTTGCAAGCCAACCTATTCTATCATTTAGGTAATTAAGCAAGACAACAACTCAAATTAAGAGTGCTCCTCTCTAGTCTGTAGCTTAACTCCCATCTAACTTTTAAAGCATCCGGACTGCAGGAAGAGCTTTATTTCCCTTCACTTACTTTGTTTGTTGAAGAGTTGCCTACAACCCTACCATCTCCCCTCTCCTCAACAGCTACCACTTTTAATCCACTGAAACACTTGCTAATTTGCAGAGCTCAATATATACCACTTGCCTTGGCAATACTATCACTACCTCGCAAGAATTTAAAGACTCTTATAACTTTACACAAACCCCATTATCCTTCAGGATTCTTTATCTTTGAAAAGCAGCACAAAGCATCAGTCCATGAGCACCCAGTATTAACAAAGACTCGACACATTCAGCTTCTCTCCTATTAAAAACCACAGCCTAGAAACAGAAGTGCTCAGAGAGTACTGAACCTCAGCACACATTCAACTACAATAAAGTAGCTTTCCCTGTTTCCCAAGTTACCTGATAGAAGATATACCCTCCCCAGAAAAGCCCTGCACTATCTGTGTGTCCCCCCTGCCCCCAGCAGCCACATTTACCCTGCCTGGCGTTCACTGCCATGTCTCTGAGGTCTATTCCAATGGCAGGCACACGACCTGCTCCCAAGGAGGAAACACTTTCAAAACACCTGCAAGCCCACAAACACACTGTGGAACAGCCTTCAGAGTGTATTGAGTGTCACTAAAGTGACTGACAGAACAATGCAGACAAACGATACTCAGCTGGAGCACAACTTCCTTATGTAATCCGCTACCACACGCTTATCTGGAAATTTCAATACGCTGAAGTTATACTCAAAATCCTTCCCTCTCAAGCTCTACCTATTCAACAAGCGTATGTAAGCCTTCAAGCTCTTTTCCGCTTTCTTCTCCACCTTAGCTTTAATTTAATCAGTATGGCACATGACGCTTCACAAAAACTTCAGGATAACCTACAATCAAAGCAAAAGATGTTAACACATAATCCAAATCTGATACTGCATATACATAACAAAAAAGAGCTAGCAAACTCATCCTAAATATCAGGTAGTGGGTTTGCATCTGGTCCTAGACAAAAATTAGATTTACACAGTAATCGAGAGCAGAAACCCTATGGGAGGAGTGGCTTCTACACCTGAACCATGTACAGAGATTTAAAACTGACAGCTATACATTTTGCAGGGGAAAGGACAGAAATTCCCTGCCTGACTCACCAAGGCAATAAAAGCGTACTTCAATACTTAATTAAAAGATACCATGATGATCAAGCAAAGTAGAGTTTTAAGGCGACAAGGGATTCGGCGGCAGTGTTTTTCTCAGAGGCCAGGACACCGAGTGCGGTGCACCTCCCGTTCCAGGAGAAGGCACCTCGCATGCCTTTCCCTACGAGTCTACTAGATGACTCAGGTTGTAGAACAGCAGTGGCTCCGTGAAAACAACAAATCGCGCTATTTTGACAAGTTGAACGTGACAAGCTGGCTCCGCTTGGCGCTTCCGCATCCCACACCAAGCTCGTCCGTCCACCGGTGCTTGAGGAAGAACCTTTCGCCACGAAGGTCCCAAACGAGCCGTGTCAAAACTTCCAGCGCGGGGCAGCGTTTCGCTCCTCTGGGCTCCTACTCCCAAGCGCAGCGGACCCCCCCCCCCCCCCGCCGCGCTCCCCTCCCGCCCGGTTCCAGGCCCCGAGAGACTCCCGAGGCCTCTTCGGCTGCGACAGCCGGCGGCGGCTGCTGCCCCCCGGCCCGGGCCCCGCCGCCGGCGCCCCCTCGCGGCCCCAGGGCCCGGGCTCCGGGGGCCACGTTGCTGCGGAGGGGCCCGGCCCGCCGAGCCCACCCCCGCCGCGGGTAACGGCACCCGCCCCGAGCCCCGGGGAGGACAAACAAAGCGCCCCGCGGGGACGGGCCGGAGCCCACCCCCCCGCCTCCCGCCGCTCCCGCGGCCCAGCCGAGGGGAGCCGCGGAACTTCCCCCTCCGCTCCGCGCTACCCCGGCCCGGTTCTCGCCTCCTCCCGCGGGCGGGGAAAGGCCGCGGGCGGCAGCCGAGGCGGGCACCGGAGGAGGGGGGGGGGGACACGGACCCCGCGCCGCCGGGGCAGGGCCCGGCCCGGCCGCTCCCTCCCGCCGGGCCCGGGGCGGCGGCGCCGGCCTCCCCGGGTTATGTAAGGCGAGCGTTACCCCGGGGCGGGCGGGCGCGGGGCCCGGCGGGGCCCTGCCCTTACCTTGTGGATTCTCTTCAGCGCCATTGTGTGCGCGAGGCGGCGAGGAGGGGCGGGCGGGGAGGGGGCAGCCCGCGGGGACTATTTTCCGAGGGGGAGGGAGAAGGGGAGGGGGGGGAGGAGGAGCGCGGAGGTGGTGGCGGCGCGGAAGGAGAAGGGGGGGGGAGGGAGGGGAAGGGGGAGGGGAAGGAGAGAGAGAAGGGGGGGGGAAGGGCGGGAAGGGGGCCCCCCCAGAAGGCGGCGGAGGGGGGGGGGGGGGCGGGGGTCTGCGGGCGGGCCGGCCTGGCGCGCTGCTCCCCGGCGGCGCCGCGGGGCTGAGGCTTCGCTGCCGCTGCCGCAGCTCCTACCGCATCCCTCCGCCGCCTCTTTATGCGCTGGCGCCTCCTCGCCGGCCTTCCGCGTATCACTCCGCCGCGGCTCCCCGACCGCTGCGGCCGCCGCCGCTCTCGGTTGGCGGCGTGGAGGGGGCCGGGGCCGCGGCCGGGCGGGGAGCGAAGGGGGAGGGCCGGACGCGCGGGAGGGAGGGAGGGAGGAGCGCGGTGTTGGGGGGGGGGGGGAGGGGGGGGACTATTTGTCGGGCGGCCGCCGTGCAGAACTCTCCAGAAGGGGGAGGGGGAGAGCGCGGAAGGATACGGAGGCGCTGGCTGCGGGAGGCGCGTGTGGAAGGGGGCCGGGCGCGCCGGTGACGGGGGATTCTCGCGAGAAGTGGAGGACGGGAAGAAGTCCCGGCCGCGCCGCCGCTGTGGGGACGGGCCCGGGGCCTGAGGCGGGAGCGGGGCCGGGGCCCGGGCCCCACCGGGACCTCACTGCCCGCCCCGCGGGGGCTGCCCGGCACCCCGAGCCGCAGAGGGCCCGAGGCCCCTTCCTAGAGAAGCGCTGAGGCCTGCGGGCCGGCGGCGTGCCCTCCCCGGGGAGGGCTGGAAAGAGCATCCGGGACAGGCAAAAGGGCCTCCGGGAGCGCGGTGGGCGGCACCGAGAGCGGTGCCAGTGACACCTCGCACCCTGCGGGGGTGCCATGTGGCTCAGTGTCCCTCGCCCGGGGGTGGTGGAGCGGGACCGGCACGCAGCAGTTCATTTTTAGGCCTGGGAGGCCGTGTAGACAAAGTACGCCAAGTAGATAAGAGCATGGCTGCGTAATAAAGGTTTAAACCGTCAAAACAGCCTTTCGTTGGTAGAGCAAAGTGTCTCGCGTGCCAGGCTCGCCAAGCACAGCCGCGGCAGGGAGCGCGAGGTGAGCAACCGGGGACCTGGCAGGGCAGCGGTGGCAGCGACAGCACCCACGGCCCCAGCGGCCTGAGGTAGAAGAAAAACTCATTTCCATCCAGCATCCCCATGGAGGACACAGATAGGGGCAAAAACGATGATTGTTGTCGGATGACCGAGCGGCTTGTATCAAAAAAATTTCATCAAATAACCTTTCTGATGGCTGCCAATAAGCAGAAGGGTTCTGTGCAGCTTCTGCGAAGTTCCAGGCCCAGTAACCATGGCCTGTTGGTGTAACTGCACGATCAAAGTGTGAATTGCTGTAAACAGCCAGCTCAAACAAAAGGGCAACTTCCCTTCAGCTCTGAATCATCAGAAACTGGGTGAACAAGGCTGGGAACAGGACACTGCTTGGGACAAGGACTCTGTGCACATGCTCAAACAGGGCGCCTCTGCAGGGGTGTTCAGCTTAACAGCCAAACTGCCTGCACGTGCGCAGACCCATGGGACATCTTGTAAGACGTTTTTAAAAATCTACATCAAATTGGAGTCTTTTCTGTCGGTCCCGCTTCCCATTGCCAGCTTTGGATCCTGAACTGGGACTGGACACTTGCCCCTCCCTCTTGGGCTTGTGGTAGCCGCTGCTTGGTGCTGTCTGGACCCTCCCAAGTTGGCAGTCCTGCTACCGAGTTGAATAAGAAAAATGCCAAGAGCATTTTTAATCAGGGTTGGAAGTCATAAGACTCCAAGAAGGCATCAGGTTTTGTTCCTTTACAGGAAAGCCTCATTTCCTATGGATTTCTATATTGTGAAAGTAACATTTTTAGTGAATTATACTACAACTTTATTTTATTGCCTGTGTTCTCCTCACCTAGTACTGCAGCAGGGTTGCTTTCCACTCTTCTCGAAAATCCCACACCTCCTGTGCATCTCTTGGCAGAGAGAGTTGAAAGGCTTAAACAGGAGGCTATAGAGGTAAGTAAAATACTCAACTGCAAGCAGCAAGAAGCAGCTCTGGGCTTGGAGCGCATCTCCAAAACTTCCTCTGGGGTCAGACTGCCCCTTTGCTAAAGCACCCTTCTGCCAGCTGGTCCCTGCAGCCAGCAGAACTACCTGCAGGATTCATTTCCTTGCTGCTTTTGGACGGGCAAGGTTTGGAAACCTCACGCTACTTCTCATGTGTCGGTGATGATGAACTCATGTCCACTCCTCCCAAAGCACCTGCTCCCTCCTTCTGCCCGCATAGCTGCTGCTCGGGGTGGAGGTAAGGAGGTCTGGCAGTGCTCACCCTGGCCTCTCAGGAGCCTGGGGATTGCTGCCTCTTGGTGATAGCTGTGGTCTGTTCCCATGCTGACTTTGCTGCCAGCCTTTCTGCAACAATTCAAGATTTCTGGTGGTTTTAGCATAGGGTGTGTTTTGAATTAATTTCTCTTTCCTCCTCCACACTTGGTATGGAGAAAATAAATCACAGATTCATAAAAATTGTCTTCTGTTTGGTTGGGTTTTTTCAACTGCTTTAGTTCATTTTGTGGCTCCTTGCTCTTTTCCCTCTTTTCTGTTGCCTTTTGGGTTGCTGGACATCCCTTGATTTCAGAAGAGCAGACAACAACCCTGTACTGGCTCATTGCTCTGCCACCCCCCAGCACAAGGGAGCCTGCTGTCCTTCAGTGCCACACCAGACTCCACGAGCATAGGGAGCTGGAAATGCTCAAATACTAATCCCAAGTAATTCTGGCCCTCAAGGCTCCCCACAGTCCTGGGGCAGAGACAAATCTGCTTTTCTTCCATCATTTTCCACTTTCTTGTCTTACTGCCCAGCCAATGTCTGATCCTGGTCAAGCAGTCTGATCCTGCTTGCTAGAAGTGACATCGCAAGTTCCTCTTTACTGAGATGCTGCCTTGGTCCACAAGAGTGGTACAGCCACCATGGATTTGCCCCTCACTCAGACTTGGCCCATCTTTTGGCAGGGCAAACTTCATGTCTGGAACTGCAGTTGTACCGGTGACTGCTGGAGAGACAAAGGCTTCCCTCTCCTCAGGCATCTCTCCAGAAGCAACTTTCTGGGGCAGTTTTCAAAATACCTTAAAGTCAGCCTTCGAGGATTTCGCTTCTCAGAGGTCTGTGCATCAGCCCAGATTAATCTTTTTCCTGTATTCTCAGGAAAAGTGTTAGATTTTGTCCCCAAATCTGAAAATTATTTTTGGCTCACAATAGCAACAGAAACAGTCTGGATTGCTGCTTTGTCCTTGTCAATCTTTGAAAAGTCCTCTCTGAGTAGTAAAACATTGTAAAACTCAATCCAGAGAATAAACAATTTTGAAAATAAAAAGAGATAGGAATATAGTTTTGTTGTGGTTTTTAATACCAGTGATAACCACGTCTGCTGTTTCTTACCAGATGGACATGAACATCTCTAAGAGAAAATAAATGGAAGTAGAAGAGTCATTTACATCATTGTTATTCACAAGGTCAGTCCCCTTAAAATTGCTGAAAGTCAAATCTCAGTGGCAGCTTCTGACATTTGGCCTGTAGCTGTAAACAGATAGATGTTAACTTGGTGTAGGCTGCAGGGAATTGAAGACTGGGATGTGTCTTACCCAGAAGGTATTTTCCTCAAGATTCACAGATTTGTCTTACCCAGAAGGTATTTTCCTCAAGATTCATTGTCTGATGTGGCAACAGATTAAATGCTTTCCACCTGAGCTCGGACATGTCTAAAAATGCCATGAGATGGAAGAAAGATCAGGCACAAATAGGCATTAACCTAAGATCACAGGGAGCAGAGCCAGGCCCTGTTGAGTTTGAGGTCAGGATTTCTCTTCCTGGCTTTTTGCCCCATCACACTATGGTTTTCATCTCCTTTGCATTCTCCTCTTTGCTGAGGTTTGTTGCTTAGATTTCCTCTTCGTGGTCCCATCTGCAGCACTTTCTCACTTCCCATCTCCCTGTGTCTCTTGATTTCTACTTTCTCCTGTTAGGACTTCCTCATCCCACCTGCTGCCCTTCTCCCTTGCTTCTCTTCCACCTCACCTGTGCCCTTTGCAGGTGTCCTGCAGGTTTCGGTCTCTTCCCACTGTCCAAACGGGGATCGATCCATACGCACTTTTCTGTATCCCACATCAGATCATATCCTGGTCCTCTTCTCCAGAGGGATCTGGTCACCAGCACCAGAGAAGATGCTTTGGGCTGCAACTGCTGTGAAAATTCACAGCTGGTCCCCACCCGTGGCAGCCCTTGCTGCAGAGAAACCATTGCTTGTTAGGCAGATGCTGTCTCCCTGTGCCAGTTGCTGCTGGCCCCTTGCACAGCACCCCACCACAGCATTTTAGGAGGTGTTCCACCTGCAGCTTTCTGCTCTCTTTTCCAGGGGAGGGAGCTGGTCCTGCAGACCAGGGGCACTGTGGGGTACTGTGGTCTCTTGTCCTGGGGGCACCTCTGTGCTCTTGGCTTCGGTTACAAAGAAAAGCACTGAGTGATCTGCTGTCTGTGCCTGCCAACATCATCCCATGCCAACATGCACCCACTACAGAACAGCAGAGCATCGCTGGAGGAGTTAGATGAGTCCTACCTTATCCTCAGATGACTTCTGCCTCCATGTGCCTTTCCTTCACCATCTTCCTCTGATCGACTCTGTTCAACAAGGTCAGGCTGCAGTGCTGTATTTGGGAAAAAAAACCTAGGCATACTTAGGCAAAGTCATAAAAATTTGAAGGAGTACAAATTTCCCAGCCTAGCTGGCTAAATCTGATTTTCCTAGGCTTCGGTCATCAGTAAGACCTTTGTTAGAAGGTGAAAAAAGATTAGTCTAGAGGAGGTAAGATGCAACTGGAAAAAGAAAAACCCCACGCTTTAGCAGTGTCGGGTGCACACTCACTAGTGGGCAAGCTTCAAAGAAAAACTCCCAGAAAAACAGACGTGGAGCAGAGGAGAAAGTTAAGTGAAAGCCTAGGGAAAAGTAAGCTCTGCCTCTGCCCCTTGGCAAACAGCAAAGGACCTGCATCCCCATCTGCAGCCATGAACTGAGAGTTGCTTGCCTCCATAGCTGCTAAAGCCTTTGCGTCTTTAAAAAAACAGACACAGAGGACATTTTTTCTCCTTGCTTGTTGGTGTTTCCTCCAGGAGCAGCTGAAGCCCTGTCTGTTGGGAAGAGCTGGTGTAGTGAAGGCTGCTCTCAGCTATAGGCAGCACAGCTCCTGTCCCAACAGTGCTCTGCCCAGCAGTACCACCTGAATGTACAATTTCACACCAATTTTTCCCTGCGTTGCACCCTGAAGAGTCATTTGCCAGCAGGAGAGTGAGCCAAGGTCCAGTCTGGTTGAGTTACCCACAGAAGCAGGAACCGTGGCAATTCCAGTGCAGAAGCTTGCAGATCCTGAGGTGAGTTGGCCAGGCTAGCAGCTAAAAGCCTTTCAGTCTCAGGGTTTTTTGGCACCTCAGTTCAAAGCATTTCTAAAAAAAAAAAACTTCTGGACTGAACTTACGTACATAAGTTGTTGTGGGTGTCACATGGAGACTCCCACCACACAAAACACACCTTTCTCCCCTCCTGCTGCAAATCCTAGGCTTGGCTGTACTTGGTTGCAAGGGCAACCTCTAAGTCAGCTACAGCATTGTTCCTCTGTTGTCCTCTCCATCAGGAGACCAGATGGGTCAGTATCCACAGCAACAGTTATCAAGGAGCTAACTCTGTAGGTTTTCAGCCCAAGTGAAGAGCTATAAAAATGCTCTTTTTATCTTGGCCCAATCCTGCAGAGTATGTGTCCATGACTGTGTATCAGTAGAACATGGGAGATCACACCCAAGAAGAAAATACGTGGAATCATTCCTATATTGGCTTTGAAATCTGCAGATGAGTTAATATAAAATGATTGGACTCCTTTCAAGATTGTTCTTCAAGTCATAACTGAAAATAGAAGCTTGGGAACAGTCAGGGAGCCCTGATTTTATGACGGTATACGGCAGGAAGGTGAAAGTGGCCACCTGAGCCCAACAGATGTGCTCTCCATCACCCACTGAAGGAACACAGCAGCAAGGTCTCCGCTAAACTGTCTTGTGGCACCAGCTATCCCAGGCTTGAACATGACCAAAAGCTTGCCAAGTGTAGGATCACAGAAGATAGGATTTCTCATAACGCATCATTATAAACTCTTCCAGTCTAGCATACCCCCACAGAACAACCTGGGACCTTAAACTTCAGAGAAAGGCAAAGCACAAACCGAAACAACCACAGAGCAAAATCCACAAATTACCACCGCCACCACCTTGCCCACAAGAAAATTTCCAGCAAGCAATGCATTGCTGTAGGCTGAAGGCACCATAACTGTAAATCTCAGTGACACTTTCACTGGTGTCATGGAATAGACATGGTGCCCATCTCTAGCTCTCTCAGGACTTTGGATTTCCTGGACCTATTGTAACAAGCTCCTCCTAGCAGGACAAGACCCTTCTCCTTGTTTATATGTCGTCGTCTCTGGCATTGGAAGCAGAAGATCCAAATTCACAAATGGCTTTAACTGCACAAATGGATCTAACTGCAAACTTGCTGAAAGAAGCAGTCCGGCCCACCCCCCTGCAAGCAAACGACTAGCTGTTCTCTGACATGCAGCTGTGCTTAAGTTGGATCGCTTGATCTGAAAGTAATTTCAGTCTTCACCCAGCTTTACTTGGCATCTAGGGCTGTGAGTTGAACTGGTTTTCTTTGAAATCACTTGTGCCAACACAAGAAAACATGCTGGAGGAATCCCCACAAAAGAGGACAACCCATCTCTTTCACTGGCAGCATTGCCTGAAAATTCATGCAATACAGAGAGGAGAACTGAGAAAGTTCCTCAGTTGCATTTCAGGCTGCTTGGAAGTGTCCTGGAGAAGGTTCCCATCAGCAGTCACCGAACCTGCCGTTCACCAGCTAAGTCTGGTTTGTGAAAGCAAAGCCAGCAGCCGAGCCCCAGAGTCCCCCAGCGCTGAGCCCACCTCC